TAGGTTGAACTTTAACAGAGGAATAAAATCCATAATGACCCAAACTGATGACAGTCACTCATGGTCTGTGTTATACGTACTGACCCAACACTAACACCCAGAACATCAGAAATTCAGAAAGAGGAGTACTGAGTTTTGACGTAGAGCGTATGAGTCATGGATGGAAGTCCTGGAAGTGGGGCGTGATCTGAGCTCAACCACATTTGTAGCTCATTACACATCTGCAGAAGGATGTTCCCTGAGCTCAGAGCCAGACTATAAGTTTTTAGGTCCTGAATGAACAGTTAGTTCAGGAGGAGAGCCGGTCAAAGAAGGAGTGAATAAACCTGGGTAAAGATTTGTCCGATTGAATAGGTATGTTGATATCAGCTGAATAATTGAATTCTATACTGTATATATTTATTTGACATTTTTTGCTTTTATATATTATACATTATATATATAAATATATAATGCATAATATTTACATTAAATACATTAATTTCATTTACATCTCTGTGAGATATTGGTTGATATTTGGACTATAACATCACTGAGAATTTAATACAAAAGTATTTTTTTACTACTTTCCCCCTAGTATTTCCAGCATTTTCATAAAAAATGGACATCAAACCAGTATTAAGGAGATTTGGCTTTTTGGTCCGAGCCATTCTCACATTTCTCTTTGCTCTCCTGTTACTTGGCGTGATGTTATGGGCATACATCGATGGTTTCCAGATAGCCACATCTCCATATAACATCATCTCCTTGGGTTTCTATGGGGTGCTTCTCAGCCTTCACATCCTAATTCAGAGCTTTTTTGCCTTTGTGGAGCATCGGCGCATGAATGCAAGACGCAAACCATGCTCTTACACAAAAACCATTGGCTTTACTATATCAGCCTATCAGGAGGACCCTGCTTATCTCCGCGAGTGCCTTCAGTCAGTACGGGCCCTGCAGTACCCATCTGAGCTGCTACGTATTGTCATGGTGGTGGATGGGAACTCAGAGGATGACCGCTACATGATGGAGATGTTCAGGGAGGTCTTTGCAGACCAGGATGCTGGCTGTTATATATGGCAGAACAACTACCACTCTTGGAAGCCCACTGGCCAAGAAAAGGATGCAGCTGAAGCTGATGGTCCAGAAGCAGATGATGAAGTAGCGTTTGAAGACCCTCAGCGCTTAGAGGTTGAAGAACTCATCAGGACCAAGAAGTGTGTGTGCATTATGCAAAAATGGGGAGGAAAGAGGGAAGTGATGTATACGGCATTCAAGGCACTAGGATCTTCTGTGGATTATATACAGGTTAGTGATGTTTAAGTTTGAGCATTGCATTTTAGGGGAAAATACAATGTGTATGCTGATGTAAGAAATACTTCAAGAAATCTTTTTATTCTCCTGTTTAATCAGGTGTGTGACTCAGACACAAAATTAGACCCTCTGGCCACAGTGGAGCTCTGCAAGGTGCTGGAGAGCAACCAGAAATACGGTGCCGTGGGAGGCGATGTGATGATCCTTAACCTTAAAGACTCTTATATCAGCTTCATGAGCAGCCTGCGCTACTGGATGGCGTTTAACATTGAGAGGTCCTGCCAGTCCTTCTTTGACTGTGTCTCCTGCATTAGCGGCCCCTTAGGTAACACAGAAACTCTTAGACCTGAAGTTTGCACTAAATCGTAACTGAGCCTATGTACTAAATGCATATTTCTAGTCTTATATTGAATGAGTCATCTGTGCAGCTTAGTTCCAATAAAGAAAGCTTGTCTTCGTAATCTTTAATCGAAACATTTAATCCAATAACTTGCATTGCCTCTAAAACAAAATTATGTGATGTGACTAGAGGCTATTGGATGATATTAATCAACAGCCAAACAATATTTAAGCATTGTTGTATCAAACTAAATCATTCGGTTTCATTTTAGTATGTAAAAACTATTTTTTTTATTCAGTCTAATTAATTCCAGATGGGTAAAATATAAAAACTTGTTCCCCCCACCCCCCC